ACCCAAACACTGTAGTTGCAGCAAAGATCCACAGGGATTCCATAAAAAACAAACTGAAAGATGCATCCGTAAAATGAACCCTAACCTTTAAAGTGCAAGGCAAATAGCTTGACAATTTCACCATGAAGACCTCCTAAGTGGTCCATAAAAACATAGCCTTAGTACTAAAGTCAGAAAAGCAAATTTTAAGGAATTTTGAACGATTTTGCTTTGAGTGTGACCGGTGCACATGACAGAAATCCTGGACTGCTTGTACTCAAGAATGTAGTAGTTAGGGAACTGACAATGTGGAAATGTATGAAAATTAAGAACTGCTGTGCAAGAGCATGGCTGTCACAGCTCCCATGAAAGGCAGGGTATACTATCGTAGTACTTACAGGTGCCATAATTATAACTTCCTAGGAGGCTGAACAGGGGTACCTGGGGTTTGTCCTGTTGGACTGCCATCTAGGCTGCAAGATTTTGAGTTGTAGGCAAAACTTCAGGTAGCAGCCAGGAGGAGGCAAACAGTCAAGCCAGTCAATGAGCAATAAAAGTATCCGTCATCTACAAGTAAAGACAATCCCATCGACAGACAGCCAAGGCAGTCACTGAGCAAAGAAAGCATCCCTCATCTACAAGTGTGATGATGGCTTCATACATTCAAGGCTATGACATGTGAGGTGGTGCGACCAGTTTCCCGCCTCAACCATTTCCTTCTCTGACAATTCCCAGAACCTTCTGGAAAATATCTGGTAGACATTTTAATGAGGCTGATTAATTCTAGATATGGGAGACAAGAAGTTAGCAAGGTGGCAGAGCAATTAGAGTACTTTCTTTGAAAATGGGATCTTGTCCAGTTAAATGTTATTTACCAGATGTCACATAAACACTACCCCACTCCCCTGAGAAGCAGGCTTCCAGTCTTCAACTGTGACACTCACCAGCTACTCTCTACTTGTTTCTCAGCTCCTCTTATTGATAATTATTAATTAACCTTCACTATCCTAACTGCTACTTTAACTCCTTCTGTCCTATATTACTTTATGATTTTCAAACTCAGCCATGTAGAGCTTGTCAGGTAACAGTGGCTTGGAGAAGAAAGAGTTCTCACAACTGGATAGGATACACAACAAAAAAAACTACGCATGAATATAAAAGCAGTTTTTTTTCTTCTTCATCCAGTTATCTCCGCGAGGTGCTGGTGGAACTTGTCAGAATCTTCTATGCCCTCTGACTGGTTTGTTTCTGTGTCTGGCCTAGATTCTGCTCTACAATTATGTACTCCACATATCCATTTATGTTGTAGAAGTCCTTCAGAATTCATTGTGTCAAACACTGCATTCAGATTCTGACTAAAGCACAAACTGTTTACATTTGTTTTATTCACAACTTTCACATGTGAATTCTCAACTATAACTGGTGACAGTAGTAAACTGGTGGCAGCAGTAAAATGTATGCAGTTTGGATATTAACTAAAGACAAGCCTGAACTAATTAATATGCCTGAACTAACTAATGTGCCTGAACTAATTAATGTGCCTGAACTAATTAACGTGCCTGAGCTAATTAATGTGCCTGAACTAATTACCGTGCCTGAACTAATTAACGTGCCTGAACTAATTATAATTAATGTGCCTGAACTAATTACATTTTTTTTCAGATTTCACATGCTTAAAAGTGAGAAACTGCAGACTGAAAAAAAAAAAAATGAATTAATTCTATTACAAGTGCTTTTTAATTTTATTAGTTAATAAACATTTGCTTTTTTTTTAGATGCATTAAAAAATATGTTATGCCAAATTTTCATTAAAATGTTAATGAAACAAATGCACAGTCAAAAAATTATGCTAAAAAAATGCATTGCCCTAAAAAACATTTGTATAAAATGTGTTTAATATTACATAAACTATCTAAAATTTTCATATGAAAACAAATTGGTAAAAAACTTTAAGCTAGACAACAATGAAGGGTTTGCTAGTGGGTGCACAGAAACATTACAATTGGAAAATCTAACAAATGCCTTCACATCCCAACTGTATGTCTGTGTGCTAGTTGCAGAAATAATCCCATCACAAAATTTAACGACTCACTTTTGTATGAAAGTGTCAAAGCAAATGTAAAAGATTTGTAAACACTATGCACAATAAAATATTGGCCTCAAGCCGAGTACACATAACATTTTACAATTCTCTTTATCCATTAGAATTTAATATTTTTTTTCCCATGCTGAAAATGTTGTTAGCCATTTCTATTGTTTTGAATTTCTATTTAACTTCTGCCAATCAAAATGATTGATTACTTCACTGGTTACCAACAATGGTGACACAATGAAAGAAATTAAACGGCGACTATCAATTGCTCTTCAAAGACTAAAACAACTGAATAAATTATGGAATTGTACAGATAGAACTACAAAGGTCAGATTTTTAAGAGCATGCATCTTTTCCATTGCAACATACGCCTGTGAGACCTGGACACTTACTAAACAAGCGGAACAGCGCATAAATGCATTTGAATATAAATGTTACAGACAGGTTCTAAGAATATCCTGGGTAAAGAAAAGAACAAATGCATCCATACTTCAAGAGCTGAATATTGAAGAGGGTTGGCTAGTAAAGACAATAAAACAAAGAAAATTGAAATATTTTGGTCACTTGAAACGTCATGGAAGTCTAGAGAGAACAATAATGGAGGGGTATATGCCTGGGAAGAGAGGAAGAGGAAGGCCAAGGAGAAGATGGGTGCAGGATGTGGCAGATGATCTCCAGATGGATGTATCAGACGCAGGACATCTTGCTCAGGATAGGAAGGTTTTCCGGAGGGTTGTTATGGCAGCGAGGTTCCGCGAGGGACATGCTACTGAATGAAATGAAATCAAAATGATGCAAGCGTCAACGACCAGGCGATCAGGAAAACACTCAATGCTCTGAGGAAAGGTAAGTAGACAAATAAGCAGATGACAACTGGCACCACTAATACTGCAACTCTGAGCTGGATGAAGATGAGGATGAAGCGTCATGATAATGTAGCAAGTGCTTTGGGTTTTTAACTCCTATCTGGCATCATCTATGAAAGTGCCAGGTTTTCATAACAAATATCTCTTTTACAACCCAGGGTTAACCTAGCAGCTGAATGCTTGCATGCCAGCCTAAAGGATTTGAGTTTGAATCTGCATCAAGTTCTTCAATGACTCTGTCCCCCTACCTAAAATGGACACCAGGAAAAGTCCTGAGAAGCAAAGGTGCCCGGTGTGATGCTGACCACATCACCCATTGAGTGCCAATTAGTTACACATAAAAAACAAAAAACATGCGCCTAGTATCATAAGTATCAGTGGCATCAAAAGGGTACAGGTACCTGCTAAAGAGCAAGGACAGAAATTAAGACAAATTAAACCACAAATATTTCCACAGCTCCACAGAGGTAATTCTGACAATGTAGCAATCATCAAAGGCACTCACTGCACATAAAATTTTTTGAATTCAAGTATTTTTACAGCAAATGTTACACTGGGTTTGACATTAATTACAAATAACATGACATAAATGACAGACGTAAGATATTATGTCACACAACCAACTTGGACAAAACAAACAGAGGGTTCAGTAATAAAACAGGAAAACAGAATAAAAAACTGCGCTTCTTGCAGTTGACTAATTATGATAATCTAAACACTCAGTGAACTTAGTTCTCAACTCTAGTGTCACTAACAAATATGACTAACATTTTATCCAGACTAGAAGTTGAAATGATTTCTTCAGCTATAAAAACTGTTGGGAGCTACAGTAGCTCAGTGACTAAATGAATGTCTGGAGTCTGAATCTTCTACCTGTGAAGTATTTAGTGATTCCTGTACAGACAACACTACATCCTTATCCTTATGAAGATGTTTCATATCGAATAAAATAGACTGATGTCCCTTACAACAATGTTCTTCAACCTGTAGTCCATGGACTGGCACCAGTCAATAACAATTTCCGGACAGTTCCTTACAAATATTTGCCCAATCAGGTAGTGGCTAGAAACCAGAGAAATCCAATGGATGTTTTTGCAGCACTTTGCCATTCAGAAACAACACTTCAACAGGTATATAATATTATCCAAACTCTAAGCATCAAATGTCACATTAGTTAAATGCTGTAATTTTATAACATTGTAATTAAAATACTACCTACATTTGTGTTTGTTTCCTTCTTATATATCAGCCAGTCTGTAAACTATTTCTAATTTTTCCTGGTCTGCTGGTGTAAAGAGGTTGAAAGAATCTGTGCCAGAATACAACTTTGTCCAATGGACACACAAATGACTCCTTGCTAAGATGAAGATTCAAGCTTCTACCACTTAAGTTTCAAAAATGCTGCTTTAATTTCATTATTAAATTCTGACACATCTGATCAGTGCTACAACCTCAAGTATTACCAGCACAAAATACATGAACACGTGTAAGGTACAACTGCTAGAGGCCAACATCAGGTATAGGTATATTCTGCATAGATTTGTGCACCTGGCTAAGCAAACTGACTATATGTTCTTTTGCTGAGAACACCCCGACTGTTATTCCACTTTTCCAGTTATACAGAATGTATTTTTGTTAAAGGGGAAATTATATCTAGCTCTTTTCATTAAGCTGCCATTTGTTTCTAGAGCTACTTTCATTACTCTTCTATTTATGACATAAAATCATGATTTCTTGCCTTTGGTAGGTGCCCACCTAGATCTTATATACGATTTGTTGATATATCAAGATATAAAATGTTGAAGTGGTTAATTAACCTTAATTAAAGGTATCCCCATTTCAAGGTGTCAACAATATGTTATGATAACAGTTCTCAAGACAAAGCCAGAGAACACTAACAACTTATTTGATTTGTTTATCCAAATAATTTGGTATGATCCAGATTTGTAAAAAAAAAAAAAAGTGTCTACAAAACACAACTCTACATTTCTTTTTAGAAGAAATAACTCCCCTAATCTGATTGATTCCTCCTTTGTTAACTCTGGCTTGGTTACTGCAGACGCCTATTTCTTAATAAATGTCTGCAGAATGTCTATGGGCAGTGGGAAGATGATGGTTGAGTTCTTCTCTGCTGATATTGTGTTGAGAGTCTGCAGGTACCTCAGCTGTAGAGCCGCCGGTGACTGTATCATGATGTCTGCAGCTTCTTTCAAAGCTCGTGATGCTTTCTGTTCACCTTCAGCGGCAATCACCTGCAAGGAAAGACAGGAGACATCATCATGCAAGTATAATATATTGCTTCTGTTGTCTGGTTTGTCCAAAATAGACTTATTTCTCATTGTTTTCCCAATCCAAGAATGACAGTATATGCCTGTTTGTTTACATGGAGGGACACAAGATACATATGCAGATAAAAGCCAATAAACAAGAGACTGATGCTTCTCCCTGCTGTAATGTGTGCAGGGTATCTGGTGCTAGCCTGAGTTCTACTGACTAGTCTGCTGCCTGTTCAGGTGATGTCAATACCAAGCAAGTTGCCTTTACATTTCCTGGTACACATTTTAGGCTGGGTAAAACAGGTTCCGAGGTCCATTTTTTATAATAAAATATTTGCATTGGGAAAAAAAAAAGGGGGGGGGGGGGTTTTAAAGACCAATTAAAGTCAGTCTGCATTGGCCTAAGAAGTGGGGGGGGGGGGGGGGGGGGGGGGGGGGGGGCGGGGACCAACAGTCTGCACACATAAAAGCCAGATCTGCAAAATGGAGGTTCTGGAACAAGACTGCAGTCCAGAAGTGGATGAATAACCAGAACTTTCCACCAGAGTTTACAGTTGGTGAATTTGAAGAAGGAAGACGAAGAAAAAAAAAGGAGAAGAAGGAGGAAGAAGAAGAAGAGGAAGAGGAAGAAGAAGAAGAAGGAGCAGAAGAAGAAGCGGACGAAGAAGAAGAAGAAGAAGAAGAAGAAGAAGAAGGAGCAGAAGAAGAAGAAGAAGAAGGAGGAGGAGGAGGAGGAGTAGGAGGAGGAGAAGAAGAAGAACAAGAAAAAGAAGAAGAAGAAGAAGAGGAAGGATGATGAGGAGGAGAAGAAGAAGAAGAAGAAGAAGAAGAAGAAGAAGAAGAAGAAGAAGAAAAATAATAGCTTCAGTCTGTGTGTGTCAGCATCCGTCTGTCTGCCTGCATGCCAATCTATCACCCAGCAAACACATTCTGTCACACAATATTCTTTTGAATACAAAGTTATATAAAACTTATATTGTCAACAATAATATACACTGTGTATTATGCCCCAGTTATATACTGACCTTTGACTTGACAGACAGGTTTTATAACCAACAGACCAAATCTGGCATTAACAAAAATACAAAGGAACAACAAAGAAATGACTAGTATAACTAATCAACCACAACTGACCTTGGCCCTGGCTTCTCTTGCTGCCTCTGCTTCTGCAGCCATGGCTCGTTGTAGTTGAACTGGCAGACGCACATCTTTGCTGTGGAGAGTTCAAATACAGCATATCAACAAACACTAACATTTAATTATTCTTTACCAATTATCGGCAGACTGTTTCTACATATTTAAATATTAGTTTTCTTATCTGTATATAGCAGTAACTTTTTTTCCAGAAACTCCAACATTACCAGAGTCTTTTTTTTGTGTATGTGCTAACTGTTTCTAGAAGTTTCAAAATTAGAGACTTCTTGTCTGTATAGCAGCAGATTCTTCCAATGAAAGTTAAACATTATTAGATGTGCACAGTCTTCTTTGTGTATGTGCAAACTGTTTCTAGAAGTTTCAAAATTAGAGTCTTCTTGTCCATCTATCTTCAAGAAAGAGATCATACAATAATAAACAGTAGCAGTGTTGGATCAGAAATGGCTGAATGTATCTAAATGAGCTTGAAAATATCTGTTACAGAGAAGGTAGAGATGCCAGTTACTAATTAGTTGGAGACAACACAAATGTCAAATTATTCAAATTGGTAAATTCACAAGTATAAACTGGCATTGACAGGGAACTGGGAGACAGCTGTAGATTTCACAGAACAGAATGACTAAAAAAAAAAAAAAATCCCTTCCAACTCAAATGTTCCTAATGAGAACATGTTACATTCTACTGACAAATCTGATCAGCAGTATTGAAGCACAGAAATAATTAATTTAACAATTATAAGGGCAGTGTATCAGTATCAAAATTAAATGACAACTGATCATTGCCAACTTGCGTTATGCAATGAGCAAGAATGATCGTGGTACACAATATCAGGTGACCATACATCACCATCTCTACAATGACTGGAATAAAGTGATCAGGCCTGTGTTATTGTCCTGGTTATCCATATGGCCAAACCATCTAGGTATTTATTTCTTCTTCTACATTTTCATAATGATGAATCAGATTTCAGAAGACTGTGAGTGCTGGAGACAGGAGTTCAACGAGAGGGAGTGAAAATGGTGGATGAGTTGGCACAGTGACATGAAAGAGAGCTAAACTTATCAAGGGCAGACATCACAGATGGTTATGGAGGCACATGATAGACTGCAGTACCTGTATGACACCTGATTTTGATGAGGGGGGAAGACAAGCACAGAACATGAAAGACCGTACAAACACGTGCACTCTGGCCCAGCAATCTAGAGATAATTAATATTTCTTGCAAAAAAGATTTCCTGTGGCCAGGATAAAATATTGCAATTTGAGAAACTGACCGCATCTCATTTCCTGTGAGATTATAGTTTCTTGTGAGAATGAAGAGACACACACACGCACACAGAGATTATCAACAAAGAACAGTGACGTCTGCTAGAATAAGAGAGGATACAGAATGTCTTAATGATGACAACAAGGCATGTCAAAATAACATTAAATGGGGTCTCCACATCAGAGTAGTTGAACACCCATCTACTATCATTGATCTAGGTAATACAGTAAGGCTTCAAATGAAAAGCTTAAAAGTGTGACATAAATTACAACCATATAATCGTCTTGTAACCTACCAATACTGTTTTTTTTAAAGGATGTCAAGACCGTTAAGCATTGATCAAAATTACAACCAAATAATTATCTTGTAACCTGTCAATATTGTTTTCTAAGGATGTCAAGATTCTTAAGCATGTAAAATCATGGTACAGATAAAAACTGTAATATCATAATGAAAGTTTATAGATGGCAGCCCCACTTCTGACATGCACCAAAGAGGAGCAGTGTTCTGTTTTCTGTATGGTGATCAGTGCAGGGGTCAGAACTATAGTTTCCCCAAGAAATGAAGGCCCAGCATGCCTGTCAGTCCAGCAGGTGTTTCAGTCCAGTCAGAAGTTTTAAAACACCTTGACGTCTGTGACAGACTGTTCAACCTGGAGGTGACTGACCCAGATAATAAAATGCTTCTCGCCTTTGCTGCTTGTGAAGTAGCCATCTTTAAACTGTCATTATGACATCATCACACTGCTTGCAAAGTGGCCATCTTTAAACTATCATTATGACATCATCATATTCATCTGTGCCAGTATGCACCATGATGGCATGTGCTTAACATCCTTAACAACAATACTAACAGGTTACAAGAAATGGTTAATGCAAATTCTACCATGCTTTTGAGATTTTCATTTGAAGGTCCCCTCGTACTATGGCAGAGATTCCATAACTGTCACAGAGTGAAAGAGATTCCATAACTATCACAGAGTGGCAGAGATTACAAAGCTGTCATAGAGTGGCAGAGAGTATTTAACTGTCACAGAGTGGCAGAGATTCCATAACTGTCATAGAGTGCAGAGATTCCACAACTGTCATAGAGTGGCAGAGATTTTGTAACTGTCATAGAGTGGCAGAGATTCCACAACTGTCACAGAGTGGCAGAGATTTTGTAACTGTCAAAGAGTGGCAGAGATTTCATAACTGTCATAGAGTGGCAGAGATTTTGGAACTGTCATAGAGTGACAGCAATTCCATAACTGTCATAGAGTGGCAGAGATTCCATAAATGTCACAGAGTGGCAGCAATTCCATAACTGTCACAAAATGACAGGGAGTCCATAAAATTGTCATAGATCTCTACAATACAGCAGTGCAGCACCCATTCATTGTTATCAATCTCCACTGTACAATAAAAAACCTCTCTATACTGCAGAAATCTCTATTACAATGACGAAACAAACACCAGAGGAAACAGCCTTCAACAAAATGGTAAACTGAAGAAGACAAACCTACTCCTCAAAAAAAAAAGAATCTGCAAACTGATAGTAACAAAATAAACAGTTTGTATAAACCAAGGTAAGTATAACAGTTTGTATAAACCAAAGTAAGTATAACAGTTTGTATAAACCAAAGTAAGTATAACAGTTTGTATAAACCAAAGTAAGTATAACAGTTTGTATAAACCAAAGTAAGTATAACAGTTTGTATAAACCAAAGTAAGTATAACAGTTTGTATAAACCAAGGTAAGTATAACAGTTTCACACTAAAGACATTGCAGATATAGATAATCTATTTTGAGCGAACGAAAAAAAAAAGATGTATAACAGTTAAGACAAATGACGATGAAAGTACAACAGCATTGACAAATGACAGGACAACAGTTGAGATAAATGACAGCACAACAGCATAGACAAATGACAAGACAACAGTTGAGACAAATGACAGTACAACAGCATAGACAAATGACAGGTCAACAGCATAGACAAATGACAGGACAACAGCATAGACAAATGACAGGACAACAGCATAGACAAATGACAGGACAACAGCATAGACAAATGACAGGACAACAGATGAGATAAACGACAGTGGCAGGACAATAGTGGAGATTAATGACAGTGACAAGACAATAGTGAGACAAAGACAGTGAAAAGATAACAATTGAGATAAATAAAGGTGGACATAATCAACTGAATCAAATGACAGTGGTATGATAACAGCGGACACAAAATGACACTCTAAAGATAATATGTGAGACAAAATCAACAGGATTTCAATATTTCTATCAATAATAACAGATGTACAGCAATATAACGTGCACTCTCTCTCCCAAAAAGGGAGTTCACAGCGGATCAGTAAATTAGAGAAAAACGACTAAAAGAGAAACAATGCTGACGCTTTCAGAGATTTGAAAGAAAAAAAAACACCTTAATAGAATATTAGAAATATAAAGGGGAAAGGAACAGAATATGCCCTGCACAATAATAAAGTGAGGCACCACAAAACTAGCTACAAGATGTAGAAGAAACTGGAAACCTCTAATTTTGGGCAAATTGGAATTTAAGAAAAAGAAAAGTCAGTTGTGGAAGAACTGTCTAGATTTTGTGGGTTTCTGTAAGACCAATGCAGAATGTCGAAAACAGAAATTTAGCATGAAAGGTTCACTCTGTTCTGTTGGAAGTCTGATGTGTTGTTTACAGAACATAATGACTAAATAACAAAGAAGATATAAGAAGAATTGTAGCCACAGAGATAAAACTTAATTTTTCAGTAGAACATACTAGTTCTAGTGTTTAATATATGAGCTGATTCTGCAACTGAGTCTTTTTGAAAACATGGAAATGTTGAGTCTCAGTGAACTAACTCAGAGTCAATGTACTTTAGAGCAAGAGTCTTTGAGTCTCAGGGAACTAACTCAGAGTTGATGTACTTTAGAGCAAGAGTCTTTGAGTCTCAGAGAACTAACTTAGAGTTGATGTACTTTAGAGCAAGAGTCTTTGAGTCTCAGGGAACTAACTCAGAGTTGATGTACTTTAGAGCAAGAGTCTTTGAGTCTCAGAGAACTAACTTAGAGTTGATGAGCTTTACAGCAAGAATCTTTGAGTCTCAGTGAACTAACTCAGAGTTGATGTAGGAAAGGTAGGAGCAATGGACAGATTGAAGCAATGGACAGATTCGAGCAATAGATACAGAAAGTAATGGACAGATGAAAGCAACTGATAGTTGGAAGCAATGGACAGATTGAAGCAATGGACAGATTCGAGCAATAGATACAGAAAGTAATGGAGAGATGAAAGCAACTGATAGTTGGAAGCAATGGACAGATTGAAGCAACAGATACAGAAAGCAATGGACAGATTGAAGCAACAGATACAGAAAGCAATGGACAGATTGAAGCAACAGATACAGAAAGCAATGGACAGATGAAAGCAATAAATTAGTAGAAGCAATGGACAGATGAAAGCAATTGATAGGTACAAGCAATGGACAGATGAAAGCAATTGATAGTTGGAAGCAATGGACAGATTGAAGCGATTGATAGTTGTGACGACAGGCCACAGGCCATTTTCTGAATCTACAATTCACACCACCACGTTGGTCACAGTTGAAAAAACATTCCAAATGAAATCCGCACTAGTGTGAACACTAGCAGCCATGTAGCAAACAAGTAAGCATGCTTAAAGACAGAACATGGACTGAAGAAATAAAAGATGATGACATAAATCTATATGTACCTAATACTAATTTCAGACTGCTGCCAATAAATATAAACTTCAACCAGTGAATGATGCTTACAAA